ATGCCTCATTTTTTTTCCACTCCCAAAATATTTCTATCATACCCAACAACCCCCCCCCTCTCGTTACTTCATACCATGAAATATAGAATGGATTCTATTTTACTCTATTGCCCACTTCATATCTTTAAAAAACATTCTAACCTGTTTATATATACGTAGCATTAATTATTAACTGCTTTAATGTATATACGCATGCTTTTATTGTACTGAATTCAACAGGAAATGTCGGAGTTCTCAAGGTCGATAAAAAGAAGAACCAATTTTTAACAGAGAGTTCCGAAAGGTAGCTTCCGAAAGATCATACACATAAAGAAGAAAGCACCGCATATAATACTGTGTCTACATCATGACGAAATGCAAAATCTACCGCACGGAATGCTAACAGGACCGGACATAATATTTAACAATCAGCATCATCATAATAACAGAAATACTACATATAATGATGAATATACTGTATATACTGTGAGAAGTACATAATATATTGTTGTGTTCACTGCATATAATGTTAGATCTACCGCATATAATGTTAAAAGCACTTCATATAATGATAAAACCACTTCATATAATGATAGATGTACATAATATAATGGCATATCTACATCATATAATGAAAGAAGTACTGTATATAATGGAAGTTGCACACGATATACTGTAAAAACTACTTTATATAATTAAAATAGTACCACATATAATGAAGAGAACACTGCATATAATGTTTTATCCTCATATAAGACAGTCCCGGCGTTCCATCATATCAATATGACTAATCGTGGCTTTGCTGTTCTTGAGAAGATTTTTGAAGATTTTTTTCTCATATATTCCTTTGTAAAACTTTCCCCACCCTACCCTCGAGAGACATTATTTGAACATACTTGAGGATGCTTCCATATCAATATGACTAATTGGCAGTGCGGAAATATAATGTTAAATATTTTTGCCAATATACATGTGTTCCTGTGTAAAACTTTGATCCCCCATTATGGCCCCATTCGATTTGAACAAATTTGAATTTACACTATGTAATGAATGTTTCACATAAATTAAAACTTTTCTTGCTCAATGGTTGTTTAGAAGAAGATTTTTAAAAGATTTCACCAAATTTTTACTAATTCTTCATTATCTCCCTTGAAAAAGGACATGCCCCTTCATTTGAACAAATTTGAATCCTCTTAAAACAAGGATGGTTTATGACAAGTTTGGTTGAAATTGGCTCATTGGTTCTGCAGAAAAAGTCAAAAATGTAAAAATTTTACAGACGGACAGCTAGACGGACGGACGACAGACAAAAATGTGATCAGAAAAGATCATTTGAGCTTTCAGCTCAGGTGAGCTAAAAACCCTTAGCCGTCTTTAACTTGAATTTGAGGAATCTTGAAAAAGGACATATGGTATAATGGGTTAAATTGTTTTGAACATATTTTATTGATAATATGTCAACGGGATTGAACACAAGTTCCGAAAACTTAGGTAGTCCTCTCTCCAGTTAAATGGTGGGGATCTGCTATATTCAAGTGGTTTAGCATGAGAATGTTTCAAGAACACAAACTGAGAAGAAACTTTAGACAAAATTTCAAATTTGTGTAACTTTTGAAATACTGTACGTGTACATAAATTGGCGTATTCAAAATTTAGCGCAATCAGCAATCACTGGGTATGGAGTTGTTGGCGAAATCATGAATTAGCGCTATACATGTTCGTGCCGTATTTTGTATTTATAAATGATTTCTTAGCGGTACTCATGAATTAGCGCATCGTTGTCTGCGCCAAAGCCGCTAAAATATGGAGCCCGCTTTTTTTAAGGACATTGGCAAGTCAAGGTTTTCCGGAGAAAAAAAGTTTAATACATGGGTTTTTTCACTTATGAAATAGTGATTGAGAGTGATCTCCCGTGTAGAATTCTCTAAGCGGTGAAAACCAATAAAGCATATGTTTACAGAGGTAAACAAAAGCACATGTACTTCCTTCAACGGGTAGAATTATCTATACAGCAAGAAAGAAAATTAGTAATGGCTTTGTTGTGAATTGTATTCAGGGGACCAAGATCCAACAGGTTGTCATTTACCATAGTTATGCTCAGTATGCTGGGAAGGGCAAAGATGTGACATACGCTGAAAGGTAGACCGACTGAGATCAGTTCTCAGGTTGTATGAAGAAAGCAGCATTTAGTAACTACGAATAAAATTTGAAATAAATCCATGCCAATATTTTTATGACAATGTGTTTCAATCAATTCAGTCAATTACATGATAGAATGAATCAACCAGTCTGACTCTCTTGACCATTATGAATGATATGTAATTATAGCTGTTAAGGGAAGTAACTCAAAAATAAAGATCGGTGCCGGTATGTTCTTGTCCTGTTTCTATATATACATTTTCAGCCAAAATATCTAGAAGTCATAGGAAATGAAGATACAATAATGTATATAATACAAGAACTATATGAAATAAGTGGGTTTTTGAAAAATATTATGGTGAAAAATTATGTAGCTCCCTTTTATCAACATTTTACATAGGAAATGCATTGAGAATTGCAAAAACACTGATTTGACAAAATCTAAAAAAGAAGGTTGGCTTGGTAGGTTAAACAATCCAGAATATAGCCTGTTTAATACAATTAAACCTACTCAAGAGTTCTTGAAAAATTCTATACTATAACCAGGAACCTTGCCAATGTCCTTAAGTACAAGTACAGTAATTTTGAAATATCAAATAAACTAGCAACATTTAAATCATGTTTGTTGAAGAAAAATCAAGCTAATAAAAATCTAAATTTTCATTTTAGAGTCTGTGACCAGTTTGTGGTTTAGGGGCCAGGGATGTGAAGAGGATTGAAAAAATTAGGATATATAGAGGAGCAGTTTCATATATTGAACTATTCTTCCTTGATGCATGCACAAGACGAACTATTTCTCAGACAAATCAGTATGTTCAGATTATTTGCTTGTTTAAAAGGGAATTTAAGCTGAGTCGGCGATTTTTTTTATTCAAGGATTGGAAATAGAGGCGAAATGTAGCAGGAATTAATCGTGAACTTTGAAAATATGTAGTTTTTCTCCAAAAAACATGTAAACTTCATCAAATATCTTTTGAAGTTCTTGAAAATGAATGTTTTCATATCAGGGAAAAAGTCATGTTGTAACACAAGGTATCATCACTCTAGGTTTCCAAGCTAGCCTGTTAAAGGTAATAATTCACACTAAATCTGTTCATTTTTTTTAAAATGTAGATTCCTTATTTTACGCGAGTATTTAATATCGCGAAAAGGCCCAAAGGCCTCAAATCGCGAGAACAATAATTCGCGAATGGGTGATTTATCTAGAGATTTTACATGCATTAAAGCACCATAAAAAATAAAAGCGAGTAATTTTATTTCGCGAGTGGTGCTTCTCGCGTAATTACGCGTTAATTTAATCCTCGCGTACAATTAGGAATCTACAGTATCAATTTCGCATTTAACAGAGTAAAAGACAACTACAATAGCATGTCATGTTTGGTATCAAACAAGATATCAAATTCCACTGAATAGTTGTGCCCATGGAAAGCAAATCTGAAACATTTTGAAAGCTCAAAGTAAATCCGTGATTATCTCTCTTTGATTTACCGTATGATTTCGTTGCCTTCTGTATCCTGTATAATAAAGTCTCATTAAATCGAACGAAAACATTCCTTTTACTTGACCCATATAATTAAAGTCTCTCGATAGCACTTGTTGAATAAAAAACAATACCGGTACTAATGCTTATTTATAACCACCAACACCTGTGAATTAGAGTGTACTTTTATGTTTCTTTCCCAACTTGATCCAACTTCCTCGTGTCATTTGAAGTACACGCTTATTACGCACTTATTACGCAATACACGAAGCATTCTTTCTAGTTCAGATACTAGTACCAGTATTTACATAAGATGTGATTTAGCTGAAAACTTCCTTAGAAAGAAGTTCTTAGTTCAAATCATTTTACATCACATGAGGAGCAAAAAAGCAAAATTGGGGAGATCCCCCTGATTTTGTAAATGTTTGTTTCGTCGAGTGAAATAAACGAATTTTGAATGTTTAAATGGACAATGTATTTTAGCTTTAAATATCCATGTGAATATTGCCTGACACTTACACCCTAGGATATTTTTAAAGAAGTGCGAACTCACGAGAAATGTGTGTGCTTGGATGAAAAGGATCATAACACACATTCATAACCTTTAAAAACTAAGTCAATTCTCAGACTCCAAGACTATTAAGTAAGAACAGACGTGAATCAAAATTTAGATTTTGAATACTTAGTATCTTGCTTTTTATTTCGGAATACGATAAATATTTTAAATCGACACAGGTTACTGACAAATCAGTTGATGTGACAGGGTTTTCAACTAATTCGTTTAAAGTCTGTATTTCGCATATTCTATGGTCGTTATGATGACCCTATCATTATACAACTTATCGTTGGGTTGTATTTTGACAGAAATATTTCCCACCAATTGCTAGGCCATCGATTTTATACCATTTTGACTACGATTTACCTGATCAATACTGAGGACTCACGGCGGGTGTGACTGGTCAATGGGATGCTAAACTAGCCTCCTCCTAGGCATGTCTGGTATTTTCAGGGACCCGTGTTTCTTTTTTGCCCTGTTCCCTATTCGTATTTTTACTGGATTTGTAAGTTTAAGCATTGTTTGTTATCTCCACCTTTTTCATTCATGACATTTATAAAAAGTTAAAAGTTTGTATATTATTCAAATACTAACACATGATGAAAATTTTGTTTTATTTTCAAAATAACTCCGAAAGTTAAATTTTGAAGTTTGTTTTCAGATTTGTCTAGTATATTTTCCACAAATCAAAGCATTCGGGGGATGAAAATATAATACTTCGTGTTTATACTCTGAAATAACTAAGAAAAAATAAACATAGAATATATAGCGATAACACATGTCGATAAACGACTGAGTTGATCTTTGTCTGTCTGAAATACTCTTTTCTCGTTTGTTTTAGCTTCTGATAACAAGTGTAGATGCAATGAAGCGATCCAGATAAAATCAGTATCAACACCCCTCCTGATAACACACAGATCCTCCCACATGTATTGTGAAATATGACTCGCCAAATTATATTTCTGATTATCTGTGTTCTAACGGTTTTGCATCACGTACTTTCCCGCCGAGGATGTTGCGGCCCGCAACAATGGACTGGAGTTGCTATCCAGAAGCTTGGGCGATACGATCATGACGTGGATGTTGCGTCACTTGCCGACGTTACTACTCACGTTGCGTACAGTTATGATGACAGAAAAGTTTCTCTTCAACAGGAAGTTTACAACATGACGGTGAAAAGCAAGAATAAAGTACATGTGATTTACGAGTTCAAAGAAGTTAGTATTCTACAATGGTTTACCTTAATAGATGTTTCGATTTTATGGATATCTTTGGATAATTATATTTAAAACTTTTTTTCATTTTATCCAATCACATCATATGTACAAACAGCATACCGGTATATGTAAAAGGTCACGCTAGGATGTTGAATTTCAGTTTAACCCCACAAAATTAATGGTCAAGGCCACTTTGTTGAAGTATGTAAATAACGCACTGTAAAACAATAGAATGTACCGGTAGTATACAATATAGAAGTCACGAAATCCGAAGTATTCAGACCACCGCTAAAGAATAATCAGATAAAAGCTTGAAGATGTTTCTCTTGTCAACTGTCTGGGAATCTGCATAATTAGAATGCCAAAACATCTTTGTAACATGTAGATCTTTCAAGAGTCACTCCAGTATCTGAAGAGATAATGCCCTACAAACGAAAGCCTACATTAAAGGCAGTCTAGTTAATGTTTTGAGATTTCTTATGCTGTTTTTGTTTGTTTTTATGTATATTTCATGTAACTATAATATTTTTATTCCTTGTTTTAGGGAATCGAATATATTATAACGAATGACAATTACTGTATTTCATACTCTATCGGCGGAGAAATGTGGTCAGGCTGTGTTCCAGGCAGGTGGTATTTTTAAAAGTAGCTTCACATTTTGAGAACTTGACAATGCAACTACTTGTATATGATGAGTATTACTGGTCATGAAACAGACTTTCGCTACTTATATAAATCATAAAATGCGATGGTACATGATATCCTTTGTTTTCCGATACTTTTAAATACCATTGACCCTTCTTACTATAAGAAAAATGGCTGGGCATCCCTCTTTGGATTCGAGGATATTGCCCTTCTTTTTCGAAGGAAAAAGAAAAATAATCTAAAAATTAACTAGCATCTTAAAAGGGTTCAAACAACCAAACTGAAGTTGAGAATTCTAATATTGCTAATAAGATAAACATGGATCTTATTAGCAAAAAGTAAGAAAATATTGTTTTAAAATCCTCTGTGTACAAGATTTTCTACAGCGGGCTGATTTTTGAAAATATTATTTTCTGAAAGACTGAACAAAATTAATAAATGATGATGCCTTCTTTTTTTATTCATATTTATCATTTTAACATCTTAAGTATCTAATATTCATATAGACAACGCTATCCATCTCGGGACATACAATATATCCGGTCCCACGGTTGACATCTACAGAGTTGTATCCCCTAGTGGCGCCACTATACGATTTAGTGTTAGCAGCCAACTTTGTTACCCAGCAACAGAGAGTTTATTGACCCAAGGTCCAGGTAAATTATTAATTCATTTTAATTAATAATAATCAATTATTACAAGTCAATGCTTAATAGGCACATTTATTTACTCGTCAGTAAGCAATAAATAAATAAATAAATAGAATAAAATAAAAAAAAATACATGTTAATTTTTTTTTTTTTTAATGATGTGCTTAAAGGTGAAGAGTAGCCTAATGAACATATTTTCCGAATGAAATTGCATTCTGCACATTTATTACAGTGTATGATCTAAAAGTCAGTGTATATGAAAACGTAACCAAAGGAATCAGCGACCCTTCTGTGTTCAAGGTCCCCGTATTCTGTCACCATAGTCAGGTAGGAACAGCGGGTGCTATAAGGTCATCAGCATATACGTTTTATAAAGTTATAAATACATTCAGTGTAATCTGCTTCCTTGAAATCCGTTGGAATTCTACAACATTCAAACCTCTGTGAATACACACAAAACCTTGTCAAGTAGTGATAGAATATACCAAAAGGAACTACTTATACTTTCAATACACCAAAATGCATATTATTTTGGCTCAATTTGATTAAAAACAATTACCCTATCAGACTGTTGTAAAAATATTACAATTGTTCGTTAAAAAATTTAGTTGTAATTTATTTGTTATTTTCCCCCTCGCAATATTCATTTGCGTTAATATATATTTAACTTTCTACAAACTGGTCTTCCGTCTTCTAACCATACCAGTTCTGAAAGGCGCTATATATTTGAATTGACGAATGAAATTAACATTTATGAAGAGAAAAAATTAGAGAATGCTAGTACGAGTATAAGCATTTAATTCTTATTTTTTGGATGTCGTCGGTCGTATAATACGCGGTATTCAATTTGTCGGGAAGGTTGGACGACGACATCCAAAAGTAAGAATTCAATGCTTAAATACTGAGCAAACGTCTTTGCTTTGTTTTTGGAAGTTAATGAATGTTTGTGTGTGTTTCTCTCATCCTGGATTAGATACACTACGAAAAGTCAAGTGACTCTTCAAAGTTCATTGCCACGCCACTAAAACATATACATACAACAATTATCTATGTCAAACAGCTGATGAAGAAGAATGTAAATTTCATCCCAATACAAGAATAGCTTTGAAAAAATAGGAGGAAAAAGATTAATGTTCTTCATTGACTAGGAATTTTATGATAGGCAATGCCTGTAATTTCATAAGCGTTAATTTTTATTTTAGATAAAGAAGAAATACATCTCGTCGACTATCACTGAATTGATTCATAGTTCCTTTTCCTGGGGATGATGGAAAGCTTCTTTAGATGCTGTCATGTGTTGTTAATCAATTTTCTTATATCGTGACATTCATAATTTTTTTTGGTAAAACTGTTTTCAGTTTTGCCACTTCCTCCTTATCTATTTGTATATATAAAAAAAATAAACATAAAATCATTATATCACGTAAATTTCAATCCGCTAAATAGAAAGAAAGAAAAAAAATTCCAAGACAGAATATTTTTATGCTGTATGAAAACTTGACCAAGTAGACCATTCATTGACAAGTTAGAGTACTTTTATGTCGTTATCACAAACAGATTGATTTACAATGCAAAGTTCGTAACCGTCATGTACATTAGTGACGCGTGAAATCGATGTCCACGTAGATGAACGTCAATTACACCCCGACACGCACCATCACGTGACACCTGGCAACATCTGGTATAGCAGATGACGTAAAGTGCAAATGCAATAGATAGTTGTAAGTAATCTTACGATATATGATTGGAAAGTACATATGTCTTTTTTTCGTAAATAATCCGGGTGACTCATAACAAACACACCTTGTGGTTTATTGATTTTTTTTAAGACTGGAATATGGTTTGCACATTGTAATAAATATCACATAGAACTCTGTCTGTTTGTCTGCTTGTTTGTATTAAACATTTTTGTAAAGACTTGCTTCACTTGTTGTGCCGAACTTCGTCGACGAGGTTTATTTTCTATAAGTTTTCGTCTTTTTACTTCACGTGCTAATTCGTAAAATAGTTCATATATCTCTTCACTTCCGTCACAAACGGAAGTCTCAAAGAATGCGCATGCCATTTCCGTTGCAAGCTTCATCCCTTCTGCTGTGCTTACATCACGTTCACGCATTAAGTCAACTTTATTTCCCACTAAAACACACTGAACATTTGTTTTCTTTATATCGTCTAAGTAATCCTTCATTTTCATTACTTCTTCAAAACTCTGCCGGTCATTTATTGCATAAACAAAAATAAATCCGTCAGCCCATCGAATGTGACCCTCTCTCTGCAAAGCTTCTACCTGAAATGCGACACATGTATATCTTAGTCTCAATATACAGTTATATATTATATTTCTTTAGCTCTCCTGGTTAATTTTTCTCATGTGTGTTAATTATTGAATTGATTTACAACCTCGTATTACCTAAAATATGGAGTAAATACACCCAAGAGGTAACTAAGCATTTGGTTATATAGTATAAAAATTTTCACTTTAAACAAGAGGTCAAGGGACATTGACAGTCACCTGGGTATCAAGAGTTTTTCTTCATAGACTAAGTTAAACTTATGGAATCAAGCGACATGAATTCTACAATTTGGTGATTAGGAGCTATTATGATTATTTTTGTAGAGGGCTTACTGCTCATTATAATGCAAACCTATTTTCTGCTTGAAGTCTTTTGGTTAAAGGTAGTTACAATATCTGACAACTAAGCCTCACCCTGGGGCCTGAACCCTGCATCCATTGGCCAGGAATTTTTATTTTGATGCCCAGCAGTCAAGAACAAAATTTCTACATGTACGTATATTGCATTTTCATTATATGCCATCATGGGAACTGAACCCAGGAATCATTAGTTTCACATTTTTGGTACATGCCTCGTTCATTATCATGATGCAACAATTTGCCTCCAAGAGGAAACAAGATTTTCTAATAGTGATTTACTAATACAAAATTCATCTTCAATTAACCACACCTTGGAGCCCGAACCCGAGAGTTATGAATTTCTCAATTTTGGATATTCTCTCATCGCTTATTTTATAAATGTCAATAGTTTGACTGCTTGTTGTTTAGGAGTTAAGATGATTTTTTTAAGATTGCAAAAATTTTGATGTTTATCGATGCACGTATCATGACGACGGACGAAAACGGAGAGTGATAGGTCACCTGAGTCAGGTCACCTCAGCGACTCTGATGACCTTTAAAATTACACTTTTCAGTTATTCTTCGATAAAAAGACCAAATCAGGGAATATAACATGAAAAAAGATTTGCTTCAAATAGCCAATTGAACAACATAATTCTCTGAAGGACAAATCACTGCACTTAAAAAAATTATCTATAAATCTGGTGTTTGTTAAGTTTTTACAATAATTTTGGTATACCAGAGGTCATAAGGCAAAAATACAGAAGTTAATACTCTAGCAGGACTCGTTACACCCTCCGCTTGAAAAGTGGAGGGTATATAGTGATGGGGGTAAAAGTCCTCCGTAACACATAGGGGTACCCATCTCTTATCCGCAACTCTTCCTATACCACTGAATAAAGCTGAATGAGACTTTCACAGAATCTTTTTTACAATATAGTGTGACCTCCTATTTTACGTTCTGATTGGACACAATTTTTTTGGGTTTTCAATAGCAATACATGGATACTGCCATTCTTTCTATAATATTGGAGATATCAATCTCTTATCCGCAACCCCTATACCACTGAATAAAATTTAATAATCTTTATTACATAGTGCCATTGTGCATCGCTTATTGTATGTTTTGATCAGAGACATATTTGGAATTTTCCATAAAAAAAAAAAAAAAAAAAAAAAAAAAAAAAAAAAAAAAAAAAAAATTGTATTTATACTCGTATTTGAGAGTGAGGTATCATTTTGTGAGCTCAAAGTTCACAGTATCTCTAGTTAATATGGGAATAAACTGACTTTGACCTATTATTTCGTATTTGATGTTGAGTAAATAACAGTAAATCGATTTTTGAACTCTGGCACGAACCTTGTATAATAATTATGTTAAAATTTAGGGAGAAAATCATTAAGCAAGTAAATCGTTAATCACAGATAATTTCAGCAATGAAAGTTGAAATTCTCGGCAAAAGATGTAATTATGCCCCCGTATCGAAGATTCGGGGGTACATAGTTTTTTGCCCTATCCGTCTTTCTGTCTGCATGTCTGTTTGTTCGCAAAAACTTTAACATTGCCCATAACTTTTGATTGGTCGGAGCTATGGCTATCATATTTTACATGTGTATTCCTTGTGACAAGACCATCATATTTGACCTTTGGACCTTGACCTTGGAGTTTGACCCAGTTTTTGCAATTTTTTTTTTACCGAACTTTAACCTTGGTCATGGCTTTGAACAATTGGTGCTGAATGGTAAATTTGTAAGCGGTATAGAAAATTGTTATTTGGTCACGTTTTTGTGGAATGACTAATTATGTTTATTTCATTATGCTCTATTTTAGCGGCGTTATATTGTTGACCTTATGCGGAGCAAGAAAGTCGGAGGGAAGCGAAAATATTGAACAAAAAAGCAGTAAAGTTAGGTGAAACAAATAAGTTTTAAAATCTCCATTTTTTGTGATTAAAATGATGTTTATTAAATTTGTTATGTAATTTCTATCCCCCTCGCTAAAGGTTCGTGGATACGAAACTTAAATATATACCTATACCTCCTCGTTAAGTGAGGAAAAAAAGACCTTTTAAATTTATGTAAATGTCAGTGTTAAAAGGGGTCTACAACATAAAATCTTTACGCCCGGCTGATATTTAATGGGAAATTAAAATATGTAAAACAAGTAAAAATTTATCACCCAATAACGTCTTAAAACAACATTGACCTAGACTCTGAACACCCTTCATCACAAAGCAGTCTGGATGTTAAGCCCTGTTAAGCAATTTGACTCTTTTAAAAAAATTTCTTCCGATTTAGAGATTTAACATCTTATTGAATTAACATATTAATATATATAAAAAAAATTCAAAGAGAGGCGCCTAAAACAAGTTTCTACAATGGCCTTCAGTCGACTTTCTCACGCTGGGCTGTGAGGCGTTTTAAATAGATATACAAGTCATTACACAACATGCTCGGAGCTTTACTACGTATACTCGTACCTGCCCTGCCGTGTCCAGAATCTCCATATTAACGAGTTCGTCGTCTACAGTGGCGACATGCTTGTAGGTGCATTCTATAAAATTGATAAAAGATACATTCAAAGCTGAGCTCGGATGGTTTTTGTATATTAATTTGTCACGAATACATTATATGATATCTTTGGAGATGTCAAGATAAACATGTATCTAGATTGAGTCTACATAGTATATATATTTGAATTAATTGATATTTTCGGAGGCTTTTATTTTGATTTAAATTTAATTTACCATGTGATAAATTTGGAATTTAAAAAAAAAAAGATTTTTTTTTATGTTTCAAGTTCTTCCGCGTAGATGTGTTACGCCTTAGTGCATTTCCGCCTCCTATTATGTTGAATTAATTGCGCTTAGCGCAGGCTAATTTCTCATTTATCAAAGTTTTATTTTAACATCTCGTACACCTGGTATCTACAAGACATTTTCAGATTTTATGTCTAAGCCATATTTCTTTAAGGTAAATAAATACATCCTGGTTCCTGAATAATGCAGATACGAAAAAAAAATAAAATAAAAAATTTTAAAAAAAATAATAAAAATTATAAAAAAAAAAAAAATTAAAAAAAAAATCTCAATATATGTCTAATAGGCCTATTATTTGCCTTAATGTTAAAAATAATTCAGTTTGATTCGTCCATTGTCAAACTTATTTACAAAGTATGATTTTCCTTTTGTTTTATTTTTTTTTAAAGATTCATTTTGATAGGGGGTCAAGAACCCCCTGGACAGCGATGAGGCGACATACTCACCTAACGTGGGGTCGTACTCCCATATGAACCTCCGGGTTAAAAACCTTACCACCAAGGCTAAAATAAATAATACATATAAATTACAAATGATAAATTACAAAATAAAACAATTTCACATGAATCAACGTAATAAAAAACAATAATTAATCGCCGCCCAAGGATTTGTACATTTAGGATGCTGGCGAAAACACATAAAACACTTTATCTTGTGTGGAGAAAGGGTCAAGATTTTCCCAACTAATACATGAAAAATTTGCTTTGTTAGATATAAGCTAAAAGTGAGAAAATGCATCTGGTTTTTATATACGAGCAAATGGTCAAGATATTCGCATACACAAAACTTGCATTGGAATGTGACCTGTAGTGAAATGTTAGAGAACCTAATCCAGCAATACTGTTATATTCTTTTTATAATAAGCTATTAACGGGGGGGGGGGGGGGGAGGGGGGTTCTCGCTAATGAGACAGAAAAAGATCGAGGGGTGCTTCAATGGATAGACTCAGACTTTCATGTTCTGTTATTTCTTGTTTCTCTGTCTTTTATTTAATGGACATTTCCTGTTTTATGACCTATTAGCACTTATTAATGTTGTACGAGCTATGTATCTTTATTAATAATCCTCCTTTTATCACCAACAGCCATCATTAGCATCCACTAACTTGTATCTCGACCTATACATAGACTGTCCAATTTATCATTTATAAAATCAGTTCTACGGCGTCGACAACTATTATTTTTATAGACATCTATTTTAAGAATACCAATTTGATTTTTTTCTAAGGACATAAAATTTAATTATCATTAATGCCTCGCTTGAACCCCACCCCACTCCAACATAAAAATCATTCCGATGTAATAAAGTCCGTATAATTTTAATGTCTCATTTATTGATATCACAAACGCCACATAAAGAAAGTTATATAGCCAATATTCATAACCGCGTGTACTTCTTGACACCAATTTGACGCACCTTGCGGTGATGCATAGTGTGCACATGCATAATATGGCACACAGCCCGTTTGATTTCAACTCAGAATGCAAAAAAGCACAGTAGACATGATGAAACTAAGGTAACAATCGCAATGAAATCACAATTTCATCTGCGTCAATTACGGAATTGTTTTGAAGAGATTTTCTGCTGCAAACAATTAATTACATTATTTATTATTCCACAGTCAATGCTTGCCGACCGTTTTTTTTTTCAGGTTTTCTGTAGTTGATTCAAGAAATCGGTCAATTTTAATTGCTCTGTATGTAAGAATCTTTTTCCTTTAGTATGCTGATTTTCAGTTAAGTGGTTTCTATTGAAAAACTTTTGAGGAATGCGTTTTACGTCGTTCTTTGAAACGATCACAATTCTGATTCATGAAAACGTTTTGAACAAACAAGAATTGGTTTATCTCTGTTTTAAATTTATAAATGTACATATGTTTGGAGCTGTTTCTCTAATGAGCCATCAGTTGACAGATATAAATCCTCGTTACAGAAACTGATGCAGGGTAAATTATTTCTGGATAAACATTTAAGTCATGTCTATTCTATGTAACAGCCATCATTTTCCCGCCATGTGTCCATCTAATAACTTTCCCTCGTAAAACCTCCCAGAAAGTTACTAGGAATTTCTTACCCTAATCATAATGAGAGGATGTTTCCTATCAGACAGTTCATTGGCAATATTATTTTGACGGTTTGGACTAGTTCAAAAATGTATTTTTAACTCTTCGATTTTGTGTTGATTGAGCATCGACAAGTAGAGAAAAAAGCAGAATTGTTTTTATAAAATGCTAATATTATTCCCGATTCTGAACTCCTAAAAGCGATGCGCAGGCAAAATAGAGAAAATTGGTTTACAAGAAATTTAAGTGATAAAATTAACCACTTGAATGTATAGTGATATAGCTCGTTGCAGATATTTCAAAGGCGAGTGTATGCCCTAGTAATGATTAAGCTTATTCCCCAATCTTGTTTCGAAGAAAACTTGAGACAAGTCCGAGATCGTTCATTGAGTAAAATTAACCAGACTGTTCAGAGTGATAAGTTCATTGGATCAATTTGAACATATGAGCGACTTCGCTTCAGATGTTTTGAAGTGGCCAGAAAATCTCAGAACGAATTAGCTGCTGGACCTTTCACCTGAAATCCCGCACCCATCCTGTACTTGATTGCACGTACTCACATTGTACGCGCGAGAGGGCGTGCAGTAAAGATAAGTAGATATAGCATTAATTGAAACTGATTATTCTGTTTGCGGTGTAAATCCTTACGCCTTTCGGCTTTTTTGCATTAAAGACATTGATCCATTAATCCTAGTTTAGCCACATGGCATCTTTTGCATGTGTGCTAAGATTGCATCCCTCCGTGACAAGGTTGCAAAAGTACTCAGATGTTCGCTCAAGTGCTTGAAAAATTACTGCCAATGTGCCAAACGTTCATTTCACGTGGAAAGAAATTCACATAAAATAAACCTGAATTTCACGGGAAAAACTTGAAGAGATTTTCACCTATGTGTTCTTTTCCCTTGAAATTCACGCCAATTTTAGGGAATCCCTTTTTTTAAAAAAATTTTCATGTTAAAAATTTCACACGAAATCTCATGAGAGGCACATTTCAAAAACTTGCAGGTCCTTCTACTTTCTGTAAAAACACATAGCATTCAAAAAATGTGATATTGTTATGATGCCAGGTTTAATTCAAAATGTAGTATTATTCTTTCTAACACTTTTGGATAATATGGGCCTGTAAAAGTTTATTTTCTACAAATGTGCTGTTTTTATGTTCTTTGTATCTCAAAATATAAATTTGTAAAGTTCAAAGAAACTTCACATATATATTTTCAAAGGGTAAGTGGAAAATTTAATAATATTTAATCACCCAGCCAAACTCAACACCATAAACATTTAATAAAAAATGTAAGGTGTATTCAAAATGTTGACGTACGTGTCTAATAACCTTATTTGCATAAAATATTGAAAAAATGATTTCTTTTCATAATAAAATAACCTTTTAAACCTCTTGAGCAGTTAATAGCGTAAAAAAGCCTGCCGTTTTTATTAATCTAAAATTGAACTTGAATTTGAGAATAAAGCCCATGGAAGGGAAATTGATATATCTTTTTAGAAAACCACTTCGATTTTTGAAAGCCGGAGTCCAACAATTTTACTTGAATTGGAAGCACTCTTTTGTAAGTAAAGGGTATTTGCTCGCAAGGTCGATATACTTATGTAAGTAATGCGGATATCTAACATTAAATATGCACATTGTTACAGCGCACATATATATTTACAGGTAGCAATATTTCGTCGTTCGGAAGTAGCACATGTACTTGTGAAAATAATCAATTGAAGATAAGAAGTTCTAAACATGCCATCAAGTATTTATGACGTCACTTGTTCACTTTAATTGGTTCGTGTGTACTTTTACATCTGCTCCTTGAACCAAATATTTCTGAGAAGTAAATATTATTATCAAAGTTTGTTAATCAATCAATCAATAGAACAGACTTACCCGACTTGCCGACACCGGCTCGTCCAAGGACGGCAAGTTTGATTTCTGGAGTCGGCTTCGTCTTTCCGTTTGACGTCATAGCAGACATCGGCATGGAAAATGGTCGCTTTTTCAAACCAAATTACAAAGGATTTGTCCAAGTTTGGTACTGATAAGAGTAAAAAATGTTTAAATTAAAACACGCCGTTTAGTTGTTGACAGATCGTCAGCTGGGCTTTGCGTGCTGCATTTTTGTTGATCCGAGTTACTGTCCGATACATAAACCTTTGGATGCCACAGTTAATTCTTAAAACCTTTCATAACCATCCTCTGGGATCAAGCTTCGACAAAATCGTTTTTGACACATAACATAGACAAAAAAATTTAGCATTGTTCAAAGAATCGCCGGAAAAACAATTTAATCCGATTTTTGAACCGTCCCTTTCAATGATACAAACTATAATCCGAGTATGTACCAAGATTCTTTAAATTCACGAGATGAAAAATTCCTGACCGTTTCAAGTGGTCTAAACTTAGACTAGTCTATTGTTTTGAGACGTACTTTTCAGTCCACAGACAAAATGCACTGTCCTTGTCTTCAGCTACCATGCAGAAAATAGCCGAGTTGAGTGTTACCACCGCGGTGAAACATGCGCGCTACACATCATGTGATTTAAACCTCTTTTCAACTTTCAGATATATATCATTTAAAGTGAAGAATCAGCACTTTAGAGTATGTCTTTATCAAAAGCATATCGATGTCCTTAAACATGTCTATTAGACTTTTCAAATGGTAATTGATGCACACGGTGACCTCGCAGAATATCATATAAACCATCTACAGTCACACAAGGAGTTTAACATTAAGAAAATGTTTATGGGTTAAAAGCTCTTCTGTTGATATATTTACGTCTTGGAATAGTAGGAGTCTTTTGTATCTATATTTTAATTCCTCACAATTTTATAAAACTTAATATCATTTAGATAACGCTTAACTTAAAGTCATGCTGTTTAAATACACATTATATTTTTCATAAGATGCTAAGTGCCAAAGCATAGGTAATGAATATTTTACATATGATTACATAGTTTTAATCTTGTTTGAAGCGCAGTGGCGCAATACCACGGGGGCTCTTGTCCATTTATCGCTTTCCTAACTATTCATACATACCATACAGATATTCTTTCAGTTTTCCTTTTTTAACATTTTCTCCAACACACTTTTTAGGCTAATGTGGGTTTTTTTAATATTATTTTTGTGTGCACTTGTATATGTGTCTTTTTAATTAATATAATTGTATGTTTATTTTATATTTCATTATCAACGCACGGAGGACGTAAAGAAAGAATAAGTAAAAATCTATTTCAGACTCCTAAAATTTTCAAGAGTAACGAAAGAGATTTAAAAAGATATAATTAGTTTAAATTTAAAAATTTAATAAAAATGAATTTTCGATTTTGATTTAGAGAAGGATTCAAGGCTATTTTTCTGATTGCCGCTACAAGTGATGGATGTGTTCATAGCAATATGAGGTCAGAAATTTGAAATTCCATGATTGAGGAAAAACAACGTATGGTCGAAGAGAAGGATATACACATTCAAGTGGTCAATTATAATTTTCTGCGTAACTTTTGTGGAAGTGGTGTACGTTTGTTGTGCTTTGTTTCTTCTACGTGTAATCATGAATGTTTTAATCGGGGGGAAAATAAATAAATAAAGGAGTTTCTACACGCCTTAAAAGGCAATCAAGAAAAAAAATAGTGGTTTTATTTTTTTGAAATATGTACTTCAGCTTAAGCAATCCCTTTGAAATATGTATAGTACTTGATCAGATTTTGTTGTTCAATCAAAGCGAAACATTACACTGATTGTGTAAACATTAAGATGAATATTGCTTTTGTTTAAGGTAAGAACGAAAAAGAAATTCAACCGGAGAGAAGTTCATCCTCAGGAATAAGAGAGATAACCCAAATACAACGATCTCCGGAACGAACTCCCCCACTGTAGTGGAGGACTTTCATTGGTATTACATATATTTTATTTTACTCGGGTTCATTTAAAGCCTGTCAATCCAAACTTATTTAGCAAGCTAAAAATGCCATGTTTTATGTACTGTGAATAAAGAAAACGTCTGCATGTTGATATTCTCTCTTTACGTTACAATTGTTTGATACTATGATATCACCCGTTTAGTCCAGTCTTTCTACAGAATGTTTTAGAACTAAGAACAAGAGTTCAAATTTCAATGCAAATTTGTAGACAAGAATAACTCACATTTCCCGCCCCCTCTCTTATCCCCCTTTCTCTTCTAATTAATAACTCACATGTAAAAGGTATAGAAAAAGTAATTAAAGGTTGAAGAAAGTAAAAATTAGGAAATCAATTTAAATCTTAACTGACCCATTTACACACCCTATCTTTTCAAGGTGAGCTTCCATATCTCCTCTCCCCTTTATTTTTTTCCCTCTCTTTCCGCCTCCTCTCTTATATCCCTCTCTCCCTCACTTTCTCCCTCTCTCTCAATCTCTTCCCACTCTCTGGTCCACCCTCTTCTTCTCTATTTCAATCTCTCCATTCTCTCACTATCCCCTCTCTCTAACACTCTCACTCTCTTTCTATCTCCTCAAAGTCTCTCTTCTCACTCCCCTCACCTCTCCTCTTCATTCTGTCAGCCTCTCCCACTTTCTTGCTCACTCCCCCATTCTTTCTTCCCACCCACTCTCTCTATCCCCTCTCTATCTCCCCACACTCTCTCTTCTCACCACACTCTTTCATTTTCACTCTCCCCCATACCCCTTTCTCTCTCCTCGCTCACTTTCTCCCCTTTCTCTCAGACCCTCTCACTTTCTTGCTCACTCCCCCTTTCTTTCTCCCCACTCTCTCCCACTCCCATTTCTCTCTACTCACTTATTTCCTCCCCCTTCTCTCAGCCTTTCCCCCATTCTCTCGCTCACTCTCCATTTCATTTTCCCCGCTTCTTACCCAGTTTCTCTCTTTCCTCTTTTCCCTCCCCACTAGCTCTCCCTCTCTACTCCCTTTCATTATCTCACATTCTTTATCATCACATACCTCACTCTCTCCTGTTTCACACAATGGGCAGGGGATGTGTTTCTTTTCTTTTCTTTTTTTTAAATTAGATTTTAAATTTTTTCTGTGGAGACGATATATAGGAAAACAAATTTAAAAAGTTATAGTGTTTTGGTTTTGTGAATGTTTATTATCGCCAAAAAAGTACAATAATGGTTGAATAGATATAAATTAAATCACACAATGGTTCTTAATAATTATATTGAACATTCTTGAACAATTAATTTACCAAAGCATCGTGATTTCTTTTTATATTCACGAGATCATTATAAAAATGAGTAACGTATATAAAACGTTTACGCCAACGTTTACAGCACTTTACAGCGTTTGATTGACACATCCTTGCACTTTCATAAATTTTAATTTTATTCTTAATACTTAAGAAAAGTGGCAATTTTGTTGTGTATTAATGAAAAATATTAAAACTATAATCCAGAAAATTCAGAGTAGAAATGTTCGAAAGCAAAACCCACTCACAGTATTGTCAGTTCGTGCTCAGTGGTGTGTGCAGACTTTAACAATTGAACAGGTGAATCGTAAACATTAACAATAACAGAGCTCGTGCCCTGTTTACAAAAACAGTTTACGTTTCACGGGTGTATTCAATTTGTTAAACTCTGTACACAACACTGAGCACGGGCTGACGATGTTAGTGAGGGGGTTTGCTTTCGCACATTTCTACTCTGAATTTTCTTGATTATAGATGTAATGTGTTTCATTAATACACAATAAAATCGCTTCTTTTCTTAAATATTAAGGATAAAGATAAAATTTGTGAAAGTGCAAGGATGTGTTAATCAAACGCGTCCAGGAATTCGTAGTTCCAATAATTTCCAGATAAAATAAGTTTTTAATTATATTTTCGTGTGAAACGCTATTGCAATATATAAGTCGTGATATTATACAGAAAATTTGAGAAAATATTAACTTCAAATCTGTGTCTAAACACCTTTAAGAGTTATTTTCATTTATCAAGACTCAGTTCAATCGAAAGTACATAGATAAAAACATACCAATACGAAGAGTTAAAATACATTTTTATTCAATACTTGAGGAAAAAAGATATATGGTCAAAGAGAACAATTACATGTATACTGATATGTTTCTGCATTTTACTAAGCCTTCAAGGTCAATTAATATAATTCCCTGTGTAACTTCTAAACAAAGCGATTTGAAATGCAGGCCCGGAGGACCCCCTCCCCCCTAAAACAACAACAACAACAAAACAAAAAAAAAACAAAACAAAACAAAAAAAAAAAAAAAAAAACGCAATGACTTTCTACAGGCTAGAATTGGTTAACATTTGTTTGTCGTTCTTAGTTGTTGGAAGAAATATTTTCACCCCTCTTCCTAAAAATAATTAATTTTGAAATATGTACTTCTGTTGCCCTTGCTCATACTTTAAAAAAAATAATCAAAACATAACATGATTGTTGTGCTCAAACGTTTAGATTAAGATTATAGGAAAAATGTACGTGAATAGTAGTAAAGAAAAAATTTTAGAATTTTTTTTGTCATCCTCCAGAACAAGAGAGATAACTGAAAGAAAACAATCTAGATATTGAACCTCTTACTGTAGTGGAAGAATTACTTGTCATTATTATGTTCCCCAAACGAAGTTTGAGAACATATTGTTTTTACTCTGTTTCTTCTTCTTCTTATTATTAAGGTCTTCCGACTTCCTTCGGAAGACCTTATTGTTTTCCTTCTGTTTTCTATTATTAAGGTCTTCCGACTTCCTTCGGAAGACCTTATTGTTTTCCTTCTGTTTTCTATTATTAAGGTCTTTCGTCTTCACGGAAGACCTTATAGTGATTCTACTGTTTATTAAGGTCTTCCGTTCCAGACGGAAGACCTTATAGTGATTGTACTGTTTATTATTATTATTATTATTATTATTATTATTTTTTTCCCCTTTTTTTGTCGGCAGGATTTCTCAGAGATGACTGGATGGATTTTCCTGAAATTTTCAGGGTTGATAGAGAATGAAAATACCCCGAGGCGTTTTTTTCATTTTGTCAAAATTCACTTCCGGTCGTCAGATATGTCCGATTTCCGTTTTTTTCAAAAATATTTTTTCCGAGTGAGATCTCAGAAACGGTAAGAGATTAAGACACCAAACTTATACGAGTAATAGATCATGAGGAGTAGGCGAGCCCATTTGGGTTAAGCGTGTCAGCCGTCACTTCCGGTCGTCACAGGAAGTGATCAAAGAAATCGAAAATTTCAACTTTTCTTTTTTGAATTTTTTTTTGCATCACATTATTGCATCTTATGTGTAGTTTCGAAATATGTCAGTCCCACCGGAAACAAAAACGACAACTTCCGGTTATAAGAGGAAAACTACATAATTTGAGTAATTTACTTTCCCTTAAATATCTTTTGTAGATAAAGTATTTGAAAAGATTTTTAGATATGTTATTCAGACTGCAGATGTCTAGAGTAACGTCAAAAATCTTAGTAAAATTCACTTCCGGTCGCGTGTTTTTCCTGTCCTCAAAATGAAAAGTTATCTGAGCGAGATCTCGGAAACGGCATGA